ACATTTTCCAAACAAAATTTCTTTATGATGTGCAGTAAGGATTCTTGAACTTACACTTTTAAAAAGTGGACACACAAGCAACAAAAATACATATTTTTTTTTCAAATAATTATTTTATATAAGCTAATAATCTTTAGAGTACAATATATCAAGAACGTCAAAGTATGTATGTGACATTACGTCATAAAATCAAATTACTCAGAAATGACTTAAATAATAACGCCATTAAGTATATAAAAGACGACTTTCCCGGTAGCCCTGTATAAGACTCTAATACAACGTATTTATTCTATATTTACAGATGCGCGGGAACAGGTACGGTCGATAAAGCACCGAGAACTGCGCCAGGCAGTAGTTGGAGGCGATGAGCGTACCGTGCGTGTCCTATTAGAAGCGTTAGGCAGTGAGCGGCAAGCTATTGCCAACATGGCACCTGGTGGAGCAAATACGTTGCTTTTCTTGTGAGTATTGCGTACAAATCGTGGTTGCACTTAACTATACTATACACATTACATTTCATAAAAAATATACTTCTTTTTATAAGGAAAACTTTGTATAAAATTGTAAAGAACTTAAATATTTTCAGCAGGTTTTTTTTTTTTTAAGTTGTTATAAATAAAAAAGTGATTAATCTAGAAGAAAAAACCAATATTAAAACAATTTACTTAATTACCAAAGGGGTGGGTATCCATCCCTTTAACGATGCAAAAACTTAAAGGTAAATTTTATAAGAAATTAAACTGGCAATTTATTAAAACTACTATACTTATATACTTATTAAAATTAAGAAATTAAATTTAAGCGTATAATAAAAGCTGGTATTCGTAAATATACTTCGGTATTAAGTGGAAGATTTATTTAAAGAACTTCGTGAAAGACAACAATTAATCTTGTACTGCTAGAGGCTTGTTGACCCAGAAAATTGGCGCCGTTTATGGTGAAAGGCATTAAAGCTTTCTTATCCATTTCAGTATAAAATTTCAAACACTGATTCTAAAAATTTTAAAATATGTATACCGGCTAATTTTGTATCGTTTATTTCAAAAATCACATCAACAAGTATGTGGAACTTTGGGCTTTGTGGTCATTCAGTGTCCTTTATAATGGTCAGTGATATCCTAGGTGTTTAAAAAAGGAAGTGATGTCAACTATTTTTATCTTTTGCTTTCATGAAATATATTTCAAAACTATGAATAACACTGTGCCACAAAAACAAAAAAATTTCAGAACACACGAAAGAATCTATATACTCACGAAACTATGGGTAAAATATAGTAAAACTGCGTTTTTAGTTTTTCACTCTGACGTCAGGATGCTTTTTCAAAGGACTTTGAAATGTTAAAAATATGATTAATTCAAAAAATTATTTAAAAAAATTAGTACAATGTAGAATAACAATATTAGTATCAAATGAAACAGAAAATTCTGTTGAATTTAAAAACAAAAAAATGTTTGCTGTATGTAAAATTTTTTGCTTAACAAGGACGAATAGGTATTGAAAATGCGCTTTTAATAAATTTTATCTTTTCAAGTCAATAAAGTTTGCAGGACGAAATTCGATGATGTGGTCGTATGTACATATTCAAACAATCATTTTTTCAAAAATGAATATTGCAAATTTTCAAGGATTTTTAAGGACAACATTTTTAAAGGACATTTTCTGTACCCATTCGTCCTTATGTACCAAAAAATTTTTCTGTTATAATTCTACAGAACTTTTTCTTATATTTGATACCCTTATCTTTATGCTACATTGCATTGAATTTTTAAAAAAAGTTTTGAAATATTCATATTTTTTAATTCCAAAGTCCTTTTAAAAAAATCCTGATGTCAGGGAGAAAAACTAAGTACGTGACTCAAACCAATGACCACGTGTTGATTTTGTTTTTCGTAATATTCGTAATGTTTTTCGAGCTAGTTTTTTTTTTTATTTTTCTATAAAAAATACTGTTCAAGCTTTATACAAATTTAGGAAAATTCCACAAATTTTCATCAAAATTTCAAATTTTTAATATGATTCTTTAGACAACTTTTGGGTACGCAATTTTAGTCTAATAAAGTGCAAGTTTCAAATGGTTAGAAAATCCCGCTGATTTCTGAGAATATTGTTTTGGCAACGGATTTTTGCACTTTTTCCATATAAGCATGAATTTCTTATGAAACAAAATGCGGGGGACCGTTAGCAACAAAATTTCAAAAATTCGAAGCCATTTTTTGTAGATAACACTACAGATTATATAAAAAAAACCGCAATAGTAGTCTCCACAAAACAATTATCAAAAATTGTATGGGCTAGAAAACTGCATACCCAAAAATGTTGTAAAGATTTGTTTGGTATGAGGAAAACATTTATGCACCTAAAATTCATTTGGCCTTGGTGATCTCAGGACATTTTCGATACCTTCATGTTGTTCTATTTTTATTTTTATTTTTTTTTTATTTATTTAGAAAAGTTCCATTCCTAATGCAAATGGCGCGTAAGAAAATGTAAAATGGGCAAGTAATTCGATTAAGCTAACACAAACAGCGAAAGAATCCGTCTGATTTGTTCGTGTTCGATGTCATTTTCCTCGTTAGTGGCGTGGTGCGCGAATAAATCAGACAGCTTTGAAAATTTTCAAACTCTCTGATTTATTCGACCGTTAGTGGCGCAGTTCGCGAACATTAACCCATGTCGTCATAACAGTTTACTTTTAACCCATTTCGTGATATCAGGGTATTTTGAGTCATTGAAGTGAGCACATCGCGGGACATTGCAAGTAAGCGATTTTTAGATTTTTTTTTGGAAATTTTGAAGGGAGAAGTTGCGATTTGGCAAAGTAAAAGTGAAAAATATAAAGATAGGAATAAAAACAAAAATCACAGACTGAAGGTCAAGACTTAATATTTTTGTAAAGATTTCAAAATAGAAAGTTTTGTAAAACCAGGAAAAGGCGTGCCTCAGCAAATAAAAAGTAGATAAAGTATATTTTGCTTAGCTGCACATCCTTCTTTGCACGAAAAACTTGTGCACGTAACCGAAAAAGGCACTTAAGCGAATTTTCTTTACTACTTCAATGAGGAAGGTATCCGAATCCCTATGAAACCAAATATTGGCGGAGCACTTACCATGTAGAAATTACTGCAAGCGAAATTTTTACCGAATGTTATCTAATTATCTATATAACTACATAAATTGATAGCCATTTTCGTTGTTCTGCGAGATGAGCAAAATAAATAAAAGGTTGTAAAATTAGGTAATTGTAGGGCCAGTGCAGGTAAACGTAATACTTTCATTGATAATTGATACTAGTCGCACAATTTTTAAGGCAGGTATCGCCAATGTGCAGGTATGTTGAATGCATCTATCGGAGCAGTTTCCTTATAAATGTTAAAAATAATGCTTTTGATGCGCATTTTGGGGTAGGTATCTTAGATGTGCACTTAAGCATAGAGGCAGCAAAGCAAAATATACTGTATTCATATCCATTATTGTAGAAGAGCGTAATTAGAACCCTAATAAAAAAAAAACTACATTCAGAACTTGTCTTTTATGTAATGCCGAAGAAATTCAGCTGCGAGCATGCAGCCTGTTATACGAGTACATAAATAGATGGTGCACGCCAAGGAGAGCGCGCGTTTTTAGCGCTTTCGCAGGTGTTTAAATTTTGATTACAAGCGTAATTTTGAATTACCCATTCTGAAGTTTTTACAGGTTTTGTTTAAGTATTTGAAGAACAGTTTTCAATAAAAAAATTAAAAAAAAATCATTACTAAATTTGAAAAAAAAATTATTAATTTGTTATTATCTTTTTAATATTAGACTTTTTGTATTAAAAAGTAATTGTATCGACTTCTCGTAATCCTCATATAAAAGCCAAGAAAAAGTCATAAATGGTACGATGATTAAGTTTGTTTTTTATTAAAATGCTTGTTTGCGCTGAAGCATATTTTAAAAAGTTCTTTTTTGGCACGCTTATAGTTAAAAAAAAAAATCTCGAAAACCGTGTGTGTCAGAAGAAAATAAAAAAATACGTGTATCATATTTTTACCCAAAGAATTCAAGGAAGAATAATATCAGCGGGACAAAATTTTTAGTGTAAATTTTGCATGGATTGACCCATATACTTGTTTTCGCTTATTTTCAAAGCTCTTCATATCCAGATGCTTTGCATGTATGTATAAAGCGGAAAAAGAAATTCTAACAAGTTGTCTACAGAATAATAATATATATTTTTTGTATTTAAAAAGAATTCACTCCTACCCTTTCTTCGTTTTATGCTTTTTTCTCTTGTTTTTTTCACGCACACGACTAATCCGGGAGTAATTCTTCCCAAAAATGGTCGTTTTCAAGAACTATTTGTAAAATATTTTTATTTTGTGAGAGTGTGAGAATTAAACAAAGATTACGCTGGTGTAATTTTAAATCCCAATTTTACTGCTCTTAACTATGCAAATCAACTTTAAAAAGTTCAACATTTAATAGCTAATGTACAAAACGGAGACTCGAATCGGGTTAATATTTGAATTTCGCAAGCAGACTTGGTCTGGTGAGTTTTTACAAGTGTTCGAAAGTTTTTAGCTATCAGCCTCAAAAAAATAACGGCATTGTGCAAAATTGGGTCTGTCTAGTGTACATATTGTGCGTAGCATGATACAAAGAGAAGGTGGTTTCACTCAATGACTTTGGTCACCATGTTAGCTATTTGACTTTTGCTGGCATTATGACATTTCTCTATCTAAATTTTTTTATCAAGGTTCGTAGTACATATGTATGTGTATAAATATATATGTATTTCATTTATCAGGGCCTCACAGGCGGGATATGAGAGCATAACGAAACGATTGCTGGACGCTGGTGCGGATGGTCGCTCACACGCTGTCACCAAATATTCACCACTCTATGCTGCTGTACATCATGGCCACTACAATATCGCAAAACTGATGTTAGAACGGTTTCCTGATTTAATACAAGTACTCATGCCTGTGTAATATGCCTGCCGACAAATGTCATTAACATAATGTGTCTCTTGCAGCAACCTACTGTAGAGCGATGGCTGCCGTTCCATGCCGCCTGCATTAACGGGCATATTCATTTACTCGAATTGCTCATCAACTTCAAATACCCGGAATATTTGTATGCTACATATCGCGATGAAGAGGGTCAATGGGAGTGGCGTTTGCCATTCGATCCGAATGCTCAAGATGTAACTGGTCAGACATGTCTCTACATTGCCAGTATATTGGGCAACAAATCTTTGGTAAATGTACTACTCAAGTGGCGTGTAAAGAGTCACAAAACCTTAAATATTGGTGAGGGAGGCTGTGTTGGCAACTCAGAGATAGGTCCTGTCGGCGTTGAAAACATTCACAAAAGTAGTAGCAGCACTTCGATCACACCCACACGTAAGCGTATTTCATTCGGTATCCAAGCAATAATGGCTAAACTGAATATATCTGGGGAGGGTGAGAATCTGATCAAAGTGAGTGACAGAAAAAGAAGAAGCTTTTACATTTAATTTTGCCGTTTGATTTTAATGTCGTAGGAGGAGGATGAATGCGAAAGGTGCCCCGTTAATTTGAATTTACTTTGTGGTGCAACTCGTGAAACAGCTCTCTTGGCGGCCGTGCGTGGTGGATTTGTTGATGTAGCCACATTACTTCTGCAAAATGGTGCCAATCCAAATATTATGGCTAAACCAGTAGAGGATCACAATGATCCAAAATGCATGGAGGAAATCTATGGCCTTAGTAACGTACCCATTGCAGAGGCATGCAAGCAGCGTTCATTACCGATGGTTGAATTGCTTTTAAGGTAATTATGCTCTTTTATGAGGTAATGCATGCACATAATTTTAATTCAATCTTATCAAGATATGGTGCTCGTGATGAAGGTGGTACTGCACTAATGGTAGCCGTCAATTCCGATGACGAGGAAATATTGAGCCGTCTGCTAGCGAAGCGCGTGCATCCCGACTCCGATTATAAAATCAACAAAAAGGGCTTACCGACGCCAGTTGAAGTAAACGTGTTCCTACCATCGACAACGAATATTTCGTATAGCGCAATGTTTCCTAATGTGCCAACCATAATTGATTGGCATAACAATACAAATGTTCAATTGACATTCGTACGGTGAGTTTAAAAGAGGGATGCGCAACCAGAAGCTCGTTTCTGTTTCGTGGTACTTTCATTTCTTTAGAGCGAACACCTTCTACATCGCAACTCTCGTTTATTTTTTTTTTCAACCGCATCTTTAGTGGCGGTTTAAATGTTTTTTGTTTTTGAATGAGCATCAAGGAACGGTTTGATACACATTGGATATATTTATGTAAAAAGATTTTTTTTTTGGCCAATGCCAATGTCGATTCCTTAAAAAAAAACTACCTGAATATAAATTCATTCAAGAATGTTTTTGATAAACTTTTAAAATAACAAAAGAAAAACATAAACAAATAACTAAATAACATTACAAAACATACATAAATTTGAATTAAAAGTAGTAAATATATCGCTTCCGCGTGAATATCATTGCAATGCTTTGTTCCATAATCTTTTTCTTATTCAATGTAAAATAAATAGTTCATTCGAAATCACATTTCCTACACATTGGATATATTTGTGTAAAAAGATTTTCGAGTAGAGTGCGACAGACTCCCTTTTTTTGGTCAATGCCAATGTCGATTCCTTAAAAAAAAACTACCTGAATATAAATTCATTCAAGAATGTTTTTGATAAACTTTTAAAATAACAAAAGAAAAACATAAACAAATAACTAAATAACATTACAAAACATACATAAATTTGAATTAAAAGTAGTAAATATATCGCTTCCGCGTGAATATCATTGCAATGCTTTGTTCCATAATCTTTTTCTTATTCAATGTAAAATAAATAGTTCATTCGAAATCACATTTCCTAGTTGTACTCATAGTAGTAAAAATATGCAGTTTCTGCTGACTATAAATGTGTTGTATTGAATGCAGTTTGTTAATAAACCGTAACCGAAGATTTTAAAATAATGATGAAGGTATTTTTGTAACGTAAACAATTTAACAATCCACTAAAATTAACCCAAAGGATTTAGGAATTCAGCAATTAATTCAAGGATAACCGTAACAATACATACAGTGACGAAATTTTAGCATTCTTTGTCTATTTCCCTTTCGTCCATTTAATGTTTATTATTTTTTTTTTGAAAGTGTAACTCGTTATCTAACAAAACCATGTAAGTAAAAATTTCTACCTTTTTCTTTAAACATTCTGAATATGCAGTAGATCACTAATTCAAATTTTAAATGCAAATTTTAAGTAGGACTTTCCATTGATTTTTGGCAATTTTTTGTGGAAGGTGTTGCTAATTTTCTCCGTACTTTGCACATTAGGTCAAATGATTCATTTGGCTGTGCGAAACTCTAATTTCGTAAGGGCAGTTTTACATTATTTTTTGTTGCCATTCTTTAGGGAATACACCAAAATAACATAAGCTTCACTTTGTTTTTGTAAAATAAAATGACACCGTTAGACAGACCAAAATTACATTTTCACAACGTTATTGACACGTTGTTTGCGCAACCGGTTTATTTTGTAAGTTTCAAGTGCATTTTTTTGTAAAGCTCGAATAATTAAAGGAAAATTTTAAATGGAAAACAAAACTATAAGTGAGTCTCAATTTAAAAAAATGACTTTTTATCATTTGTTTGCAAAAAAACTGACTTATTTGCATAACCTCAAAAATTTTCTGATTTATTTCCATTTGTGATTTTATGTAAGCTTTTACACTTTTGTTAACTTTCGACTGGAAAAAGTAATGGATAAATTAAGATGTAATGAGTTGATTTTATTTTACTTAGCCGCCGTTTTCAAGAAAAACGTTTTTTTTCTGGGCTATGATGCTATTACAAAAGCCGAGTTGTTTGAAGTTTGGCTGATTGGATGTTCGAAAAGAAGAAAACCTTTTTTCGGTTGTCAACCATGTTGAAACAAAATTTGGTGCTGCTGATATTTGCGAAAGTTCTATGAAGAAGAAAAAACGCGTATTTTTTGCAATTATTTATCAAAAAAAGATGAAAATTATGGAAAGCAATTTCGAAAGGATGCCAAAACATTTAATAATGCCAAAATATTTAGATAAGAAAATAAGCGTTTCTTGCTGATGAAGTTCTTTTCGAAATTAAAAAGCCAACTGTGTCGACCAGCAGCCGGATTCTAACTTTCACTATCATTTTAGCTAAACTACGAAAGCTAAAATTTTTCCGAATTTTTAGCTGTCTCCAAAAATTGCGGTTTTGCTCTCTTTCGCTAAAAATAGCTCAGCACAAATTTTTTGGTGATAAATAGTAAATTTTAATGGTGATAAATAGTCAATTTTAATGGTGATAAATAGTGAAAATGGAAGTATGTGATAGCAAAAAAATAGCAGCCTCAATTTGGATTACATTTCATCTCCTGTAGCGTAGCCATGGCTATGTTACAAAGGCACTTGCGCCGATTCGCAAAGACGGATTGAAATTTCGAAATTTTTTACTCAAAGTGAATAGAGCATTCAAAAACATTCGTATTCTTTTCAGGAAGTTACCAGCGATTTTTGGTAAATGTGTCACAAAGCAGCAATTGCATTCTAAATATAAATAATATCGGTGGAGAATTTGGGAATACTGAAACCTCAAGTGAAAATAAAGTGTTTTATGACGACTAACTGGTTTAGAAATCTCTCCTCAAGGCATATCTGCAAGAAATGTAGTAAATATTTTTCGTTTTTTAATTAAGGAATTCCCAGAAGAACCCATTTATGTACTTACTTATTTTAGTCTGTAGCTCATTTTAAGGGGGAGGGTGTTGAGTATGTTAAGAAAATAACTTGTGTCAAAACCAAGCTAATTGGACAATGTTTTTGAGTACTACTTAAACACATATACTCATCATTTTAACATACAAAAAAGCAGAAGAGTCTGTTCTACGAAAGCCAAGTAATTTATTCACATTTTATTTACTGGCTTTACACTATTTCTAACGTTTGCCATCTTTTTACATTAAAATAATGCAAATATTGCTGCTATTAATTTCGCACGGAAAAAGTTATAATTTGACCTAATGTGCTTTGGAAGAAAATACGTGAACAAAAAAATCAACGGCATGTCATAGATACTTCAGACTTGCTCTTTATTGTACTAAAATTTAAAAAACTGTGTACTCAAAAAAAAACAAAACTAGAAAGTCTGATAAACAGTTTCAAATTTCGATGAACATTTGTTTAAATTCGTCGTTCGTAAACACAAATAAACAAGGAAAATAGCCAAACTTGCTAAAATGTGTCTTCCCTACTTACATTCTCGCCACCGTACATCATAGCAACGACACTCAGATGCATTAATATTTTATACTTTAAAGCAATTAAAAAAGTAAATAACATAGAATGAAGTGCAGATTAAGTAAAAATAATCGGCTAAGAACCGGCCAAAAACGGCCGATGTCCATGCCGATGCCGATTCTTTTGGTCGATACTAGCCGATGCCGATTAATCGGTCGGACTCTATTTTCAAGCTTATTTCTGAGCTATTCTGATAAGGAAAGTTCTATCTAATCTAAATATAAGCTCAAGATAAAATTTATTCATCTTCTTTTTATAGTATTAACTGGCTCGTTAAAGGCGTCCTACAACTTAATCCCAAACTCCAAGGACACCCGATGGTTAATGAAGTGGCGCTGACAGCCATAACGCGCATTGATTTGTCGCATAACAACCTCAGTGTCCTCCCTAAAGAAATTTTTAAGTTGGTTAGTTTAAAGTAAGTATTTGCATTTTCATATAAATACTAAATACTTACTCAGTAATATTTTAAATGATTTGTAGATATCTAAACATTGCACAGAATAAAATCGCCAGCCTACCTTTTCCTGCGCAATCACCGAATAGTGCAAAATATGAGTACAATTGTCCGGTGCTTGAGGAACTTTTCATGCAGGATAATCGCCTAGTAATGATACCTGCCGACATTTTTTACTTGCCTTCGCTTACCATTTTAGATATCTCAAACAACAAACTGCAAGAACTGCCGTTTGACATGTGGAAAGCACCAAAATTGCGAGAACTAAATATAGCATTTAATTTGCTGAAGGACTTACCAGTGCTACCGATGCAGGTGAGTTGTTTAATATCGCGCGTGCATTTTAAGTACATATATATGCACATACAGTGACTCAAACAAGTGTTCACCATATAAATGAAAAGTTTCAAACTTTATAAAAAATTCAACAAGTTTTCACCAAAATTTCAAATATTTAAGAGCCATACAATTTTAGTCTAATGAGGTACAGGTTGAGTAAAAAAAAAATGGTTTGGTGACGACTTTTGCGATTTTTTTTTTATATGACAAGGAAAATTTATAAAAATAGGTATTCATTTTTAAAAATTTTGTTTTTTTGAATAAAAAATAGAATTTTATCGGTTCTTTTCGAGATTTTCTCGGGATTTAAGGTTCCAAAATTTATTCGAAACCGTTCGGGATTTGCCCGATATTTTCTTTACTTAACGAAATTTTTTCGGTATATTTAGCTATATTTCGAATCTTTTCTGTATTCTCTCTGTGCACTTCAATTGTATGAATTTAATACTGCTATAAGTCCACTTGATTAGCTCTTTAGTATCTACCCGTATATTATGCATTTCAGTTTGACCAGTATTTTTTTCTTAACAGTCCTCAACATCACACATCAGTTTAGAGAAGTTGGAATTGGAGCCGTTTTCTAATATCGAATCCTCAGAAGCGTGCAATTCCAAGCCACGCAATTTAAATTTCCATCAGTTGATACATCGAAATGTTTGGGCTAATTCGTTAGATATAACCGATAATGACATGAAGTGGAATAAACCGAAGAAAGAAGAGGGAGTCTCAAAGTTAAATAGCCTAAATATCGCTAATAATCTTTTTACCAGCATACCTGTGGTGCTACCTTGTTTGGCGGTTAATTTGACACGTCTCAACATGTCGTATAATAGTTTAAGGTGTGTAAAAATATATGCACATAAGAAGAAATACGGACTCCTATGAATAATATGTATTATTATAGATCTATGGGACATGTGACGGGCTACCCTTCAGCTCTGAAGCAACTTGATCTAAGTCATAATGAAATTTCTTGTTGGCCAAGTTTGCCGCGTATCAGCGGTGATCTCGACCCACATTTGCTTTGCTACGGTTCGGATCGTTCCACCAATACGACGGATGACGCATCCACGTATTCTAAGCCGGTGGGCAGTGGGAAAACAATCTCATTCCGCAGCACAGTACTTAAAAGCGTCTGTCGCCATCGACGTCATTTAAGACTTGAATCGTTACGCACTCTTATACTAGCCGATAATCTCTTGACTCGCATACAGTTATCCACTGATGATGCAACGACGCTTTTTAACGAATCCGAAGATGCAGACTGGAGTGTTGTGGGTGTGACAAAGTCCAAGATAATATTTCCGAACTTATCCATGTTGGATATTAGCAACAATTGTTTGAAGGTAAGTGAGAACATGACAAAGTTTAAAACTTGAACTCATTTTATTATAGTTTTTATTTAACAGGAAATTCCCACTTCATTACATGAATTAAGTGGTCTCAGTGTATTAAATATAAGTGGTAATGTGAATATCACCGATCTTCCACCGCATCTTGGTCTTCTCTCACGCCTATGGAACTTAAACACACGCGGCTGTATGCTTCAGGAGCCACTTAAATCGATGATCGAAAGTAAGAAGTATAAGACAATGGATATAATTGGATATTTGAAGTCAATTTATGAGAATTCCGTGATATACGCGCGCATGAAGTTGATGGTGGTAGGCGTACAAGGCATAGGCAAAACGACTCTGTTAGATTTGCTGCGCCAAGGTGGTGGATCTCAGAAATCACGTGCCTCAGAAAACCATTGGGCCAGACGCATGGGACATGCGCGTAATACGCCAAAGTCGAACTGTGCCGGAAACATTTCGACGGTTGGTGTTGATATTGGGACCTGGATATGTGAAAAGCGTAAGAAATCGCCCGGCTCACATGGACCTGTAATATTTCGAACTTGGGATTTTGGTGGCCAAAAAGAGTGCGTTGAAACATTGCTGGCTTCGGCTTCACTTGTGTGGTTTAAAAATAATCGCTTTTTTACAGATACTATGCAACACATCAGTATTTTTTATCGAAACGTAGTTTATATTTGGTACTTTGGAAAATAACGGATGGGCATAAAGGACTTACTGAAATACTCCAATGGCTCGGTAACATACAGGTATTAGTTAATTTTGCTGAAATATGTTGTTGTTGTAGCAGCATACAAGCTCCCCAAAGAGTTTTGTTGCTGGAGTGACAGTCCTTGGCCAAATATAAATCCGGGTCGTTCCCGTTACGTAGACCCGACTGTCGTGGGAGCGTGTATACAGGTATTAGTTAATTTTGCTGAAATATCGACGAAGACTGTGTAAATCTGCTTATGAGCAGTTTGTAACTACCGTAAAACTAAAGAGGCAAAAATATATTACATAGTTTAGCTAACTTTATAAATTTGAGGGTTTAAATTAATTTGTAGTCCCGTCGTGGCATCGTAGCAGGAGAGAACACATATTTTATTCAGTCATTTGGAGTCTTATGAAGGTTCAACAATAGCGTAGGCCGAAAATCCGCATTTTTTAAATTTTGATTGGTAATAGCAAAAATATGGTTCATTACGCTTTCAAAAAAATCTGTGTGAAATTTAATAAATATCCTAAGCTCGCCCACATCGATCAAAGTTCAATATGCTCAAAAAATAAAAGTTAATAAATAAATTAGTTTATACATTTTTTTTAATAAAATTTCAATAATCTTCGATAGTATTAGTCCTCCATAATTTGGTATATGGACCTTTTTCGTAGAGAATCGAAGTTAGCTAAGAAATAAATTTTTTTAGTACTTGAACTTTGATGGACTTGGGCGAGCCTAAGATATTGACCAAAAATTTTCACATTTCACACAGATTTATTTTAGAGCATAATGAACCATATTTTTGCTATTACCAATCGAAATTTTAAAAATGCTAAGAAATAAATTTTTTTAGTACTTGAACTTTGATGGACTTGGGCGAGCCTAAGATATTGACCAACAATTTTCACATTTTACACAGATTTTTTTTTAGAGCATAATGAACCATATTTTTGCTAGTACCAATCGAAATTTTAAAAATGCGGACTCTCGACCTACACTATTTAACAACTTTTAATGAAAATTTTCCTCCATATTGTATCCGTCATTTTGAATTTTGATAACGCTGGCTCAAAATCGTAATGAATCGATGTTGAAGGCTTCTAAATATTTAATTTTAAGGTATGCATCCAAAATTATAATAATCGATCTCGAAAAGTGCATGTATGTTCTAAGAATTACATAACTTTAACGTGAAGGTGACGTTTTTGCCATCTTTTTCGATTTTTCGAAAAAGCTCCATAAAAGATGGCGAGACTTAGGGCCGTTTTCCGACTGCCTATGTATATATGTGCATTTCCAGTAGAAGGTCTACTGCGAAAAAAATAAAAGTCCTATGTGTAACTTATTTATAGGCCGATTTGGCTGCTTTTTACAAGCTTTTATTTAACTTGCTCTGTATGTATGTATGTAAGTATGATGGCCTAGAGATTTGAGACTTCACAGTTGGCTCAGAACCCGATGACAATGCAATACGAAAGATGAGCTAATCCGATAGGTGGCGCAGACGTCGAGATATTCGAAAAACCCGTTTTTATAGTCCGATTTGGTTCATATTTAGAACCAAATATCCCAGTAGATAATTTCAGGAGTTAAAAGCCCTTCCGAAAGGCCTTCCTGAGGGTCAAGAGGCCTTCCACTCTACACATTCATTTCTCCTTTCTTTTTTATATGGAGTGGCACAAATTGAAGGGCTTCTTCTTTCGCTACCCATGGAAGGCCTCCCGGAAAGGCTTTGATAGGACGTACTTCAAAAGGCCATTTGGAGGAGTTCTTTTAAAGTTGCTTCTTTAACTTATAAAAATCATACATCTTTCAAGTATTTGTTTAAGGTTTATATCAAATATGTGTTATTGCAACTTAAAATGCTTATTTGAAATTCATTTCGGTGGCAGAGAGAAGATCGACCTATCTCGGCATCCAGTCCGAAAATGCCCTATCTCAGAAAACTTTTCAAGAATGCCCCTTCTTCAGAATTTGATTGAAAAACGCCCTATTTCAGAATTTTATTGAAAAACACCTTATCTCAGAATTAGTGTGGAGTAACGCCCTATCTCAGAACTCGGATCAAAAACGGCCGGGTACGGGTTCAGTGTCGCCAGTTTAGCTATTTTTCGACTAGATTTAGCTGATTGCGATAGCAAACAGTCGGAGAAAATTTGGTTTAGCAGGCAGCCGATTTTGCTATAGGCCAATATAGGACAATTTTTTTCTAATCCGAAAAGTCTTAAAATACTGGGCCGATTTCAAAGATTTTTTTTAAGCGAATATACAGTGACCAAATACATGTGGATAAACCGGGAGCAAGTTTTGGCAATTTTTCTTTAATTTATTTAATGTTTGTATTTTTTTTTTATAAGTGTAGCTGATTGCTTAACACTAGCAACAGTTTTTTTGTTTTTTGAATTTTGAATTGTGCCGTTATTGCACAGAACCATCGATATATCTGTGGTCATAAGCAATAACCGCCCAAGTCGAAAAACCTGAATCCGAGAAAAAACGTTTTAAAAATTTGGATTGTAATGTTAACCTTATGGGGAGACCAAAATATGTTCGTCTACAACTTTTTAAATAGCCTAGAGATGGGGATTTAACATACATATGGAATAGTAGTTGAAGAATACGATAGCATATATAAATAACTCAGTTCCTTCTTAAGTCGACTTAAGCGGCTTTTTCGTTTGCCACAANCAGAACCATCGATATATCTGTGGTCATAAGCAATAACCGCCCAAGTCGAAAAACCTGAATCCGAGAAAAAACGTTTTAAAAATTTGGATTGTAATGTTAACCTTATGGGGAGACCAAAATATGTTCGTCTACAACTTTTTAAATAGCCTAGAGATGGGGATTTAACATACATATGGAATAGTAGTTGAAGAATACGATAGCATATATAAATAACTCAGTACCTTCTTAAGTCGACTTAAGCGGCTTTTTCGTTTGCCACAAATGTATAAAAAAGAGCAGCTGCTTAAAGTTTGACAACGATAGACTCTATGTTGCCGTGGTGCGATTGTAGAATGAAGCATATACCAACGTGCTCGTCACGGGGTACAGTGTAAGATTTGGCCAATCTAGCTGCTTTTAATTTTGTGATTCGAAAACTATTGAAGATAGATTAATGAAATTTTGCACAAAGTACGGTATAAGATAGGCGAAGCTCTTTACAAAAAAATCGCTCACTTCGAGGTACTGTTCCGCTAACCTATTATATAACTGTAATTTTTAAAAAGGCAACGCTGAAATAATTAACTCACTACAAAAGCTAAAATGCCCAAAATTGATATTTAGAATTTCCTAATAGCAAGGAATTATAAACTGACAGAAATGGACTTAAAAATTAAATTTTTTTTTTTTGAATTATGAGCGTGGCAAATATCGNATTTCCTAATAGCAAGGAATTATAAACTGACAGAAATGGACTTAAAAATTGAATATATTTTTTTTTTGAATTATGAGCGTGGCAAATATCGATATAAAAAAAATCAAGTTGGGTCAACAAGAAAGGTTATGAATCGAGCATTCTCTATTTAAAAGCAAAAATACAAATGCAAATACAATCGAAAGAGGAGAAAAGAAGAGAATGACGCCAGAAAGCCTTCGCATACAACAACAGCTGGATAACGTGAAGGTAGACAACACTAACAAGGCCTAAGCAGCAGTAATAAGAGACAAATATATATAATTGTGAAAACAAATGAAATGATGGAAATTGTAAAAACCAGTAGCCAAATGATGTGGTGCTAAGAGAAAAATTATTGTGAAATGTGATTAACCCTGGGATTCAGTAATTCAGTCTCATCTCAAGTCACTAAATTTGAGATTAGCAATTAGTGACTATTTTTGTGACTTGAGGCGATTTGGGTATTCAGAAGGAGAGAGTCGGAAAAAGTTCACCAAAAATGTGTGGTGAAAGCAAACACAATCAACTGATAGCGTTTATGTATGCCGCTCAAAGAGTCGCAATGGCCGAGTGGTCAAATCATTAGGCTGGCAGCCGAGAGGGTCCGGGTTCAAGTCCTCCTCGGGCGTAGAGGACTTTTTATTTAGTATTTTTTATTTTTCTTATTTAGTATTTTTTTAGCAATCTTTAGATTTTAATATTTTAAAAACAAAAAAATAATTTTTTTTCAATACATTTGTATGATATTAAAGCATACTTCTATTTTTGTGACCCGCTCTTAGCCAGCTGACAAATTAGTGACTTATTTTTGAGACTAGAGCCGTGAGACAGCGTACTGAATACCAAATAGTCTCAAGAAGGCGCGGGAAAAAAGCGGCGAAACGCGTAGCAGGGAAAAGGAAAACGTATTTTCGCTTTTATTTCACCGGCCGAAGTAGCTCCAACCCAACGAACAAATTTTACAAGAATTTGGCCCAAATCAACAAACCAAAAATACAAAAATTTTTCTCGGTCGAGATCAAATGTAAATGAATTATTCGAAGAAAATAAAATTCCTAGTAGGCCGGAAAAAAGAAAATTTCATCAAAACCAGCACTTTCCAGCACCTGAAATTGTGGTGTTTAAAGTCTAAGAGGAGTGGCAAATAAACAGAGATACAAGCTTTATCGAATAATCGCGGATAACGAGTTTGTCTGTGTAATGAAATAAATAAATTGCCAAAATTAAATTTAAGTTAACATCGTTTTACTTTAACATGAAATACTCAGTCCTAGTTGACTCAAATCGCAAACAGGTACTATATTCATTAAAAAGAACATATCTAAAAAGATAAGACCAAAATTGTATTTGAACAATTGTTGCATAAATCACAAAACACCAACAACTTAAACATTGGAATTCCGTACAAGATTAAATATTATTGCGCTTGGCAATCTTCCAAATCAAATCCCGTCCCGCCATACACTTTGATGCACATTTTCTTGTTGTTATTATTTCGTCTTTACTAGGCTTTTCTAAATGCGATATAAGGGAGGTTAAGCACAATTACTGTTATTTGTTTGATTTTAGTTATTTTTGCTATTTTTTTTTAAATAAGAATTAGCGAATCAAAGTAAATAAAAATCCGCTAGGTTTAAACTGAGTTGCCACCTGTTAAAAATTGAACTTAATTTGATAGGATTATTCATTAAAAAAAATATTAGGAGGGTTGCCACCTGAAATGGTAATTCCCATGAACAGAAGTGTTATAATAGTTTTATAGATAATTGCATGATCTATACTCCAATAAATAGGGTTCAAAAATTAGAAAGAAATTATGAAAATTGCAGATAGAGGGTATTCAACATAACCCGTGGATATCTGAAATAGCCTTTGATAAATTTTTTTTGTGTATTAAAAATTTTAANAGGTACTATATTCATTAAAAAGAACATATCTAAAAAGATAAGACCAAAATTGTATTTGAACAATTGTTGCATAAATCACAAAACACCAACAACTTAAACATTGGAATTCCGTACAAGATTAAATATTATTGCGCTTGGCAATCTTCCAAATCAAATCCCGTCCCGCCATACACTTTGATGCACATTTTCTTGTTGTTATTATTTCGTCTTTACTAGGCTTTTCTAAATGCGATATAAGGGAGGTAAGCACAGTTACTGTCATTTGTTTAATTTTAGTTATTTTTGCTATTTTTTTTTTAAATAAGAATTAGCAAATCAAAGTAAATAAAAATCAGCTAGGTTTAAACTGAGTTGCCACCTGTTAAAAATTGAACTTAATTTGATAGGATTATTCATTAAAAAAAATTATTAGTAGGGTTGCCACCAGAAGTGTTATAATAGTTTTATAGATAATTGCATGATCTATACTCCAATAAATAGGGTTCAAAAATTAGAAAGAAATTATGAAAATTGCAGATAGAGGGTATTCAACATAACCCGTGGATATCTGAAATAGCCTTTGAAAATTTTTTTTGTGTATTAAAAATTTTAACGATTTGCCATAATTATATAATTAAAATCAGAAAGTTGTTCTACCAAATTTGGAAGGATTTCACCAAAATAGTAATTTATGATCTCCAAATTTTAGGCTCGCGCACCCAATTCTGCTGTCATAATTGTTGGAACGCACTACGATGCAGTTGGAGACACGATCACCGCCCAACAGGCAGAAGAACTGCAACAAATCATACGCGAAAAATTTATCGCTATACCAGATGCAGAAAAAGTTGGATTACCGCGAGTAATCGATTCAATAGAGATAAGCTGCCGGTAAGTTAATACTGTTAGCGCCCTGAAATGTCTTTTTTAGGGTGTTGTCCCTAACGCTCGGAGTGTACTATACAATACATGCCTATATTTTCATAAACATCTTTGAATGTATGTATGTCAATAGATTATGTACGAAAATATGTTTAGATATGTACATATCGTCGTTTAAAGTACAAAACCGCGAATCTCGGAAATGCATAACCTCGTATGTGAGGTGGCCAAGATTTTGCAGGAGAGAGTACAGCTAGTCCTATTTCAAAACGGTCCTTTCTTTTATACCTAATTATCTCTTCTTCTTATATCTAAGTACCGATATTTAAGTATAAATGGATATGGGCTTGGTGTCAAGGGGTTCCGGTGTGCAAATATCTTTTTTGGAACAAATGTCAGTTACGAGGTTTTGTGCTTTAAACGACGGTATGTATGTACATATATGGCAAAATATTTTCCTTTTTGGTATAATATGTATCTATTTATTCAATCTTTCTTTCGAAACTAACAATAAGTTTTCAAATTTTACAAACTACTATTAAATTTAAAATTTCTGCGGCAAAGCTTAGAAATTTTGTATTTTTTTTACATATATATTTAGTGCCATTGTTGCGGCTGTCGGAATGTAGAAGATTCCGGGCAGCAGGATCACTGGCGATCTGAAAGGATGAGTTCCAGAGCCGCACTGCCTGGGCGGGTGGAAAGGACTAGTTTCCACGCCGCGCCTTCGCTTCTCTATATTTAAATAATTACAATCCAGTAGGCTGTGTTCGGTCGGAACGGACGAGTTTCCGAGCCGCACTGACACTAGTGTTGGGTAGTCGGTCTGAAATGACGAGTTCCAGAGCCGACATTGATATATCGTGGATATCCATATATATTATATTACTCATCATTTGATAATATCGGAAAATTCCTTTCTTTTTAGTCTTCTTGCGTATCTCGGGCTAAGAAGATCTCTCGCTAGTCGATTTGGATGGTTAATTAACCGTGCTGAATAACTGGTGCTTAGCCCTCTTATGTTTAGCCCTTTATGTTTACATTAAGATCTTTGTGGATATTCGTATTTTTTATGTACCATGGTACTGCGCATATGGCGCGTAACATTTTCGACTGCAGTCTTTGAAGTCTGTTCAAAATGGAATTGCACGCTGTGCCCCAAAGCCCGATTCCATATGCCCAACATGGTCTAATCATCATATTAAAAATCAGCATCTTGTTTTCCAGGCTTAATTTAGATTTGTGTCCTATAACCCATTCAAGCCTTGAAGCTTGTTTTAGTTTCGCTTGAGAAATTTTGTTTTCTATATGCTTTTTCCAGGTAAGTTTTCTATCTAGTGTCATCCCAAGGTACTTGACACTATCTTTTTGTGGTATAGCCTTGCGGTTTATTCTTAATGGTGGGCAAGTTTCTTTCTTCAAAGTAAATTAGGGATTAAAACTCTCACTAAGTAGAATTCTCCTTTCTGTGTTGCCGAAGAAGAGGAGCTGAACACCTTTTGCAGAGAACACCTTTCTGCGTAGGCGGCCTTCGGCTGCGCATAGGTATTATAACCCTCACTAGGCAATGGCGAACCTCCGAGTGTATTTCTGCCACGAAAAACAGCTTCTCATAAAAATACAATCGCCGTTCGGAGTCGGTGTAAAACTGTAGGCCCCTCCGCTTTGTGTGACAACGTCAAGGCGCACGCCACAAATCGGAGGAGAAGCTCGGCCAAACACTAACATATGTGTATGCGCCAATCTATTATTATTATTATTAAGGTGGTACCTTAAGGGTGGTCCCATACTAATTTTGTTTAGATCCGATAATTGGATCATGAAGAAATTATCGATAGTCTTAAAATTTTATATGAGAATTGAAGCTTTTTTCTAAAAGTAATTTTCCTTATTTCCTGGCAAAGTATGTAAATTAAAGAAAATGAAATGTAAATGTTTATTATTTCTATTATTGTTTGTGTCCTTTTAGCGTTCTTACAGTGTTATCATCAAAATTTAATGGCGACCATAGGATTGCAATTGGTTTATAAAACTCATAGGACGTAGGATATTCAGTCCGATAGGGCTCGGAATTCAAGCATACGGCATTCACATTTGTATCGCAGGATACCAGTAAGGGTACTCTAAAGGCCTCAGTAGGGACGCCATTTGGTGTACCATTAAGGGTACCATATACACAATTAATACACAATTAAGTCAGTGCATATTTCTGGATATGCAGGGTTTAGTCCAAGAGAACGCAGCAACAGTCCGGACTGATATGTATCTAGGTCGTTCCGGTTACGTAGACCCTGTCGTGGGAACTTTGAAAAAGTAATTAATTCCTTGCTGTGGACTAAAGGAATTGATTACTAATTAAGCAATTAAGATTAATTGTAGAATCAGCCTATTGTTTTAACCCTGGACGTGCTTTGTTAGTCGATTTGACTAACAGCAATCGTGTTTGGCTTCGTACTTCTCTCTGAAGTCATTTACCTTTTTGTTTATTATATGTAGCAGAGAAAAAGTATGTTTTAAATGTTTAATCATCTATATATACTAAAGCACTGCAAATATACCTACCGAAATACTCTTCACAAGTGTACATGAGTAAATGGAACATAAATTTTAGTGTACTTAAAAAGATGGAAACAAAAAAAGAGGACATCATAAATTTGAGGTACTGAGCAATGTTACTCAACAGTGCTCTGCTACATAAAACACCTTTCCACTTTTGCAGAGTACTTGAGTATGTTGCAGGGATTGGCATTGGTTGATCGTCAACAGTTTCATACTCAATCAATACCGCTGCTTTATATGACTGAGCAGCGGCGTTGGCTTAGTAGTATCGATACCTAAACGAAATTAGGGGATAACTGAACACCAGCGCATAGCGCGCTGTCTTGCAAATACAGCCACCACAAGTGAACGATGCTTATAACCAGTGTTGCCAACTTTTGATTTTCGGAAAGCACCAAAAACTTGGAAAAAAGCGTTCTACCAAACTAGAAGCACCAATTTTTTTTTATCAAAAGCAAAACATGCGTAGCAGTTTGTATTTAACAAAAGCAAAAATTTAACAATATTTACAAGAATACATACATAAATCAATACACAAAACGTTTTCGATCATAACGATTGAATAGCCTCTACACATGCTATGATGACTCATGCTTACGACGTAATACCGAAGTACTATTAAAACTAGTGTATCTCGAGAAAGAAAAATCGAATCGCAACGAACGAAAATAATGCCCTAAGTAGAAATGAGCAAAAAATTTGATGTTTTCGTTATATAACCTCAAATATCGCAAAAACCGTGTTTTTGGCAATCAGAGGGTAGGATATCTAAAAATTCTAGTACTAGAGCAATTGTACGGCCAGATTTGGATTCAGTACCAAGAAATTATGTGTTTTACTCAGGTGTTAAAAAATCAAAATTTGTACAAACAATTAGAAAAGAAAAAAAGAAATACCTAACTTACCTGCGTACTAGCATTTTCAACGCGAATAGAATTCAACAAGGTGGGTTTGCAACTTCAGCTTTTTATCAATCATGGTTGTATTTTAGTGCATTTAAATTTGAACATTCTTGCAAATTCCGCATCTTCAGCTTATAATATTTTAAATTATTTCAGGCTTTAACTATCTCGGAGTAATATTAGTTCAAAAAAAGCACTAAAAAAGGCACTAGTCACTAAGTAATTTTTTTTGGCGCTTTAATTTTCAAAAAGCACTCAATCTAGTGCTTAAAGCACCAAGTTGGCAACTATGATTGCACTGAACACATTGAATTTTAGCTTGTTGGGCTCTTTCCACTCACCGTAATCATAATTGGAAGTACGGGAATACTCATGAAGTTTTTTTCTTTTCAAATGTTAGCATTTCACATAATGTTATGAAAAAACATAAAATTTCTTTTTATTCAAAATTTGTACTATATACTTAAAATATTGTTTTATATTAAAAAAAAAGCGCCGACATTTCTCGCCGGAACATATTTTCTTTGAGTACTTTTTTTGTGTACACAGCGCTCAACATCTTCACTTCGCTTCCTTCCATGCCCCCTTTGCTAGAGTATGAGTAATTTACATATTTGGAAAAAACTTCACAGTGAAGCAAAATAAATTACGATGCAGACCTTTAACATATGCATATAAAACGCGAAGAGATTTTTTGTTCAGGACAAAAGATTTTTACCGTTCGCCCGGTTTTCAAAATTGAGGTGTCAAATTAATGCGCTTGGTCTGTAGATGTGGAAGCTGGTTTAATTTTTTTTTCGAAAAGAGTTGCCTCCTGTTGAACAATTAAACCCAAATTATTANAAATTAATGCGCTTGGTCTGTAGATGTGGAAGCTGGTTTAATTTTTTTTTTCGAAAAGAGTTGCCTCCTGTTGAACAATTAAACCCAAATTATTTAATAATCAATGCCATCATATCTGCACCGTTCGTTCGATTTTCCCAAGTGAGGTGTCATATTAAAAAGCTTGGAAAGGGGGTTTTGAAGAATCATTTTTGAACTATATTAAGCGCGGTTGCCACATGTTTAAAAAATCAAATTCAACTTAATTCATCAGTTAATTAAAATATGTATCGCAATGTCATACGAATAAAGTTTTAACTTGAAAATACTGCCACTTGAACTTAGTTAACTATTACACAGGTTATATGAAATATGGGTGTCAAACGAATGAGTGTTAAGAAATATTTAGTTAAGCACTAAGAATTTTTTGAGAGGTTTTAAGAGGGTTGTCCTCTGTTTAAAAAGTTAAATTTAAATTTAATTTTTAATAAGTTAAATGAATTATTAAAGGATGTTTATCAATCGAAATGTGTTTGAAAACTCTTTATATCTGACCTTTCTTTAGTAGGGTTGCCACTTGTTTGAACAATGAAATTCAACTTAGTTCTTCAGTTTATTGAAGCTCATGTGTATCACAATGTCAGCCGAAAGAGATTTAAGAAGCTGTTAGTTTGAAAATACATCTTGAAAAGGATTTCCACCTGGTCGAAAAGTAAAACGTAGTTAACTTACCATAGGCAGGTTCTGCAATTCACTTCCGAGTGAATTTCAATAAAATGCGCTTTGAATTCAAATTGGCAGGGGTTGAAATTAACTCGGAAGTGAATTGCATAACCTTATTCGACACTTATAAAAGTATGATTTTCCATTTTCTACCAATTTTATATGTGAGCTTAACTCTAACAATTTTGAAATAAATTTTTTTTCATGTGAAATAGTTTTCCATTAAAGACCTTGCTTCGAGCGGTTTTAATTTAAGCTCTTCCATACTTGCTTGCTTGGTTTAATTATTTCGGTAAGCCGAAATATTTCTGTTCGCAACGTGCATTCTAAAGAGTCGTCTGTTTGAGTTTGGGCATCAACAAAGAATGTATCCTGATCGCGTACTAAATCCTCACTTGTATCAGTTATTTCGTATGGATATCGGCCTGCGCATGGGTATGAACGAGATCGTTGGAAAGTGTTTGATTTGGACATCACTTTCCTTGAAGTGGTTTTCACAAACGCGAGATGAATCACGTAGTACAACACCACAGCTTTCTTCCCATCGCCGCTGTCTTAATTCGCAACTAGGTGGTTTAAAACACCGCGCTATTTTCGTGTCCTGACTTATTGCATACAGCGCACCGTTCAAACGTTTTGCTCCGTTTCATCTTGGTTTCATTACATTAAATATTTAAGCAAAGTCGAACGTATTTACTTATTACCAAACTTAAATGTACTTTCTTGCTCTTCTCGGCGGTTTATCTATTAACAATTTCACGTTTATTAAGAAAATTTGTTGCTTGAAAAATTTGTGTGTATTTTTATATATATTTTTTTAATTCAAATTTGAAAAAAAAAAACACATTTTCAAATGGGTTAACAATTCATTTCAATTTGACATTATAGCCTGCTTCTTATGAGAGCAATGTCAAAATCAATCACACTTTGTTGAATACATTTTGAGTATAACTCTGACTAACATTGAGAGTATTTTTTAGCTTTTTGAAATGAAATCTTGTGCGTTTTAACGCCTTGCGAGTTTACTAGTAAAATGTATTTTCGTTTTTAACTGTTTGTTATTTAAATTCAAAATTAGTGTTAGGGCCGATTTCAAATGAATATTTAAATGGCACTTCAGTTTAATTGTCGATTGTTGTTTAAATGCCATTTAACTTTCGTTGGGTTTCAGATCAGCTTTGTTTAAATATGCCAAACAATTGGCAGCGATGCTGCTTGTTCCTTGAAATTGTTGTTGCATTTGCTTGTTTGTTTACATTTTGTGCTGAACGGCTGATTGTTTTTTGGTGGGATTGATTAAACAACCTACCAATCAATCTTGGTTGTTTGGTACAAACACAGGGTTGCATATCTCATATTTAAATAGCCAATATTGACCATTTAAGTGCAGATTAAATGTATGATCTAAAAATGAATAATGGAAGTTAATCAACAATCTCTACTTAAATAGGCCATCTGAAATTGGGCCTTAGTCGTTTCAATTAACAAGCCCGCAGAGAATGCAAAGCGCGAAGCACTTCCAGGGTTAAATATTTGGGCAGATATTTTATTTAATTTAACTTTACTTCCACTTACCTTTGTCAATGTACATTAAATACAATCAATTTTTTTAAATTACGCCAAATTAGCTCTAAAGGCCACCCACACAAGTAAATGCTGCAACACTGAATCCACTGAAAGTTAAACATTTTAAGCCAATATAATGTAAACCTTACAACTCAGAATTCGCAAGGGAATCATTTTCGTTTAAAATAGGGCAAAGAAACGGCTTTTGCCGTTGTTATACTTTTAGGTGATTTTATTTGCAATCTTGATCTTGAACCACTTAACTCTAAAATATATATAAAAGAAAATAATGTATCAGCTTTTGTCGAAATTTTAAATAATCTTTTTTTTTTTAGCACTGGTATGTAAATTAGAACTTGGGCATTTTAAAAGTAATCCATTTCTATGTAGTTGTGTGGGAACGTTATATCGTCCCTCGACAACCGATATCGCATTATAATATTTGTGTCCTATACTATTAGCCATTATTTTTCACCGGTTTACGAACAAATCTATTTTAGCACCTTGCACAACATACGTCTATTGGCCAATATAATCTACGACACAGCATTTATGTTGCGTTCTCCCGGGTCTAAAGAACCGCTTCTGCTACAAAAGATACCTGCTAGTTACATAGCATTAGAGGATATAGTCAATGTTATTGCTTGTAGTTTACGTACCGCTAATGCAGACCCAGTACTTGATGCGGACGAATTTCGAAAACTTGTTACCGAAGAAATGCGTTTGCATAACTACAAAAGCTTTCGCGACGCGGCAGAACTTAATCAAGCCACAATGTTTTTGCACGATAACGGTGTGATACTGCATTATGACGACGCAACCTTGCGCGACTATTACTTTTTAGATCCACAATGGCTGTGCGATATGTTGGCACATGTGGTGACAGTACGCGAAATCAATCCTTTCGCTCCTACCGGTATTATGAAAGTGGATGATCTGGCATTGTTGTTTCGCAATATAAATTCACAGAATAAAAACAATCGAAGGTATGTGTGGCTTGGAATATTTAAAACGCAAAACTATTGAAAGATATATAATTAAGTGCTATTTTATTTTACAGTTATATTCTTAGTTTATTGAATAAATTTGAAGTAGCACTCACATGGGACTCACGAACGTTACTAATACCATCCCTTTTACCACTTGATGAAAGTTCAACACCTAATACGGGCACCACCGTTATGGTATGTACATAATTTCATTTACATATGCACAACCTGCTTAACTTGGATAGATACATTAGTTTGAACATATTTTTAAAATAGATGAAAATACATAAATATCTGGTATACTTTCATTAATATTGCCCTTATCCATAAATATAATAAAAATTTTCCGCATATTTTTGGTCACAGGGCTGTAAAATGATGTAACGTTGTACATATATGTAAAATGTACCTATTCAAGTGAAGGGCGGTGTATGTACGCATTTGCTTATTTTATATTAATTTTTCAATACGTCTAGGCTTTTCAACGCTCGCGTGCACGTAATTTTGGTATAGATTGTTCGAATGGAATCAGCACAAATAATCTAACATTTGAGCCACATATAGATAATTCGAAAGACATTGAAGTGGGCCTTAGGCGTATTCTCTTGATGACATATTTTCCTTCCGGATTTTGGTCTCGTATATTAACAAGATTATTAGCCGATGAGCAGATAACCGACGCCATCAGATCAATTTATTTTCCCACAAATAATGTAAGTCTGCATTTTGAAATTAAGAATAATTTTGCAATTCTTCTTCGAATACATTTGAGGAGTTCCATAACAAATCGCAATAATTCCACTTAAACAGTGTATGTATTTGATAAATGAGAATGTTTAATACATATATTGGCAAATAAGAGTACATGTACTTCTAAATAACATTGGCTCCATTTTAATGGCTTTATTTTCGGTGTCATTTGTGAGGGATGACGGCAATTGGTTGCAATGCAAGATTTACTCAGTAAATTACAAGCAAATATCTGGTCTAACCGGTTTTGGAAAAAGTCTAATAATCGAACACCCTAGTATGTAAATATAACTGCGCAGCAGGTGAAAGTTACATATACCTGTACTTGGAATCAGGAGAACACATCTTTCCACTGATACCACTTTTGTACCCCTTTTCTTGGATTAGATACTAGAGTCTTCCCTATTTATTTAAAGAGTAAAAAAATTTTCTCTTTAATTTAGAAATGTTTGGAATTCGACATGCGCAACTATCTGGAGCGAGACACAAAATGGAATTTATGGCAAACTGGCGTATCTTTGTATTTTAATCAAATTTTACTTTTTAAAATATGGGAAGTTCCATTTAAGTCAACCTCTACAACTCAATCATTTCGAAGTCCGACAAATCGTTTCAAACTAAAGCTGGATGGTTTGTGGAGCGATGTAAATTTATCATCCTCCGGCATATTGGAAATTTATTTTCCCCTGAACAATATTGAGATGTATCAAGAGATTTCTGCTGGTAATCGTGAGCTCGTTGCACATATGGAACCAAATATGTCAATAGTTTCAAAGTTACTGGCGCTGGCAGTAGATCATATCGATTTGTTGCTTGAAGATTGGTATCCAGCGTTGGGTACACGATTCGTCCACACCTCAGAGGGACGATTCCTGATCACTCGTCTGGTTTTATGCCCGAAATGTTTGCAAAAACTATTCTCTGGCAATAGTGTAGATAACAGAAAGCTTGACGACGGCGGTAGTCCTGCAGATGTTCCCGGCAAAAGTAGGAATGTGACTAGACGCGCCGGGAAATTCGGTGAGAGTGCCGAGGAAGGTGCCATGAATTTGTTTTCGGCATATATGAGTACAACATTGTGGCGTGAACGAAAATCAGAGGTAAGAATCTAAGTTTTCTTCAAATAATGCCATATAATTTTGAATTTTATCAAGGATTCTTTGTGCCTTTCGGATGCTGATTCAGGGGTCGGACCTGATTCTGCATCCTCTTCTCGTAATACATCCGTCGACGGCCACCCTATCTACGAACAGCACGATGTATCAAATATTTGCTACTGTTGGATGGTTGAAGAATGCATACTATCTGTTTATAACCAGAATAAAATAGTTTGTCCCGTACATTTGGAAATGAATATGATTAGATTGGCACCTGATGTGGTATTCGCTGATATACCCGATCGATATAGCATTAACGCGGACAGCATTATTAAAGGTTCACTGTTGGGGCGAGGTGCATTTGGCTTTGTATTTAAGGCAACTTGTAAAATAAAATCAGCCCGCAGCTTTAAAGCAGTGGCTATGAAAATGCTCCAGCCTGTCCCACCTGGACCCAGAGCCAAGGAAGTGGGTTAATAATAATTTTGTTTTATTATTTTTTAAATAAGTCGTATAATGTTTTTTTTTTTTTTTTGTATTTTCAGAGCGCATTGATGGCATATAAAATTGCATTGGGCAAATGGGATCGTGATCCATTACAGCATGCCTGTAAAGCGTATTGTACTGCACGACAAGAATTAGCGGTATTGCTTACTTTGAAGCACCAAAATATTGTTCCCCTTGTGGGTATTTGCATCAAACCACTAGCTTTAGTGTTAGAGCTTGCACCGATGGGCGGACTTGATTCAGTTTTACGACAGTATCGACGAAGCGGTGCACACATTGGTCCCCACACTTTTCAGACTCTAGCCTTACAAGCGGCACGTGCAATAGAATACTTGCATAGGCGTCGTATCATTTATCGCGATTTAAAGTCAGAGAATGTGCTGGTTTGGGATTTCCCACTGCCCCATAGGTAAGGCCGTACTGAGATGGAAGAAGAATTTTGGTAAATAATTTTTGATTGCAGTGAAGATACCCCACGAAATTGCGTACAAATAAAAATTGCTGACTATGGTATTAGTCGTCAAACCGCACCAAGTGGATCAAAGGGTTTTGGCGGTACTGAAGGTTTTATGGCGCCTGAAATTATCCGCTACAATGGCGAAGAAGAGTATACGGAAAAGGTAGATACCTACATATTATGAGACTTAAACGACATTGCAAAGTTGATTGATGTTTTTTGATCATCCAAAGGTTGATTGCTTTTCATTTGGGATGTTCATATATGAAATAATATGCTTACGTCAACCTTTCGAAGGTCATGAGTCAATCAAAGAGTGTATCCTTGAAGGTAGTCGTCCACCACTTACCCAGCGTGAAGCTCAATTTCCTTCATATTGTCTCGATCTGATGGTTCTGTGCTGGAACGAATTGCCGCGGAAACGCCCATCGGCCAGTCAAATTGTTTCAATACTAACCGCTCCTGAGTGCATACACTTGTTAGATGCCATTGCCTTGCCCCATAATGAAAAGGTAGCATGTGGCGCATTTAACATGCTTGCCACAGCAGAGGGTAAGTTATCTACTAGTTAGATCTACATACATTGTTATTGTTTTATTTTACCAAAGATGAGACAAATGGTTTTGAGCTTTGGCTGCCGGCCTACAATTCACGTATCGACATACTCGATATTATGCCTTCGGGAAGCTTTCTACAAGCCAGTAGTATAATGTGTATGAATCGTTTACAAATGGTTAATTCGTCACGTGCGGAGTTAAATAATGAATCGGGTAGTCTGCGTTCAAGTTCTATAGCGTGTCAACATAAAATAAATATGCTTTCTTGTTGTTTAATTGGTGATTGCATCTGGATAGGCGATTCGGCTGGAAATTTACATTCCTATAGGTATGTGCATACTATGAATTATGTTATAAGTAGGTACATATATTAAGATGAATCACCAAATGTTTATGAGATTTCCACCCTTAGAGCACCTTTACTATATATCGAGGGCTTATATTCAATACGACCTTATTCATAACAAGTAAAGAAGTATAAGTTCGGGCGAAACCGAACATAATAGGTTTGTTCCACAAGCTACTTGTAGAAAAAACTCAAGCAAAGTTCACCCGGCGGAACACCGGACCTATATAAACTTTTCTAAAGCCGATTGGAAAGGCTTCGCGGAATTTACTGAAAACACCTTCGCTGCGCTCCCCACACACCGTATCAGGGATCTCAACGCGGAGATTCGGCAACTAGTGAGCGTACATAAGCGGAAGAAGTGGGAAGAGCATCTGAAGACCTGTAACTTTACCTCTGGTGTGAGTAAGCTTTGGTCAACCGTGAGGTCACTGTCCAATCCGACGAAGCATGACGACAGGGTCGAAATTTCTTTCGGCGACCATGCTTCGTCGGACCCGGACGGCCGATGCCGATGCCGATTAATTGGACTCTACTTAGAACAACCTTTGAATAAAATCGCACCTAGCCCAGTTTGTGACACAATCAATGTCTTACATAATAAAAGAGCTTTAGGGTGGAAAGCTAGAAGAAAGGTGTAATATTCTAGGATGCATATTAGTGTAAGAAACATTCAAACTTTAATTTTTTTTTTTCAGCACAACAAACTATGAACATATTTTTTCATACATGCTGGATCCAGCCATAAAATCTCCTTTGATAAGTCTAGTCTTCATGCCCAACATTGAGCGAGTTGCCATCGGTTTACAAAATGGCCGTGTTTTCTTTGTCGACTCAACAAAAGTCCCAACTAATTGCGCATTTGCTGAAGGTTCGTTTGTATTGACCGAAATCTGTTCCGGCCTTATACTACACAGCGCTTGTTCTGTGCTGATTGGAGAGTAAGTGAAGTTCATATTTGAAGAATATATCTTATTGCATTACATACAGCAAGGTGTCAGAAATGTACTCATTCATATATGTATATTTATTGCGGATTTCGTTAAAAACTTTTCTTCTAAGGCGATACACCACTAGAATTAGAATTAGGCAAGGCTGTTTTTTTAGTGCTGCAATTAGCTTTTTTTGCACAGATATCCCATTGAGAGTCATGTCCAAAAGCTGCTTTTAACTGTAGAGACATTATTTTGGCTATAGCTACGGGTCATTTTTTTTTTTTTTTATAATAATCCCAACGGTCATAATGTTTAATAAGTATTATTTAAAAAAAAATTTACTCCATCTCAATGTTGCCAGATTCACAGTTTTAACTGTAAATTACAGTTTTTTGACAAGCGTAGGAACATAACTCGTACAAAATTGCATTTCTCTCACAGAGAGAGAAAAAGTAGAACAACTACATGGAAGAAAAGGTTAAGAAAAGCTAGTTTCGCGAAAGCCTTTTAAGCATAACCAAGAACGCGTTCCAGTTTTGGTTTAGTTCTTGACGAGGACAAAATGTAATGCCAGGAACGTTCCCACAAAATAGCCAAGAGAGAACAAAAGTATTCAGAGCAAGTTGAACGGGAACAAAATGATAACAAACGGTTCGGGAACGTTTACGTAAAGAACAAAATGCGAACAAAACTCTCAGGAACGTTCTTAATATGAACATAATTAGAATCAAACTTTCAGGAACTCTCCCAATGAGAACGAACGTATCGAGAACGTTTTCAAGGAGGATCAAATAAGAAACATTTCTGTTGAACGTTCAGCTAGAGAACAAAACAAAAACAAACGTTTTGAGAACTAATATGGAAACTGATAAGAAAAAATAATAATTTCTGAGACAACTCAACTTGTATACAACTGAATTATCAACTGTTTTCAGTTGACTGTAGCCATTGAAAAAGTCGGAAATTCGATAGAAATTTTGTTATTTTCATAATATTATGATATGTTGATGATATTAAAATAATTAAAAAAGCAAATTAACGGAAATCAGTTACGAATTATGTTTTACCGTTGAGCCCGCGGTTGCTAGTGCTAGACAACTAACAGACAACTACGTTTTGAGTTGAGTTGTGTCCCGCAATACCAATTTACAACTTACAACTCAACTATCTTAAAAGTTGTGAATCATAATAGGGGCCAAGGCGAATTTATACAAGGTGGTGTTGATGGCGCATTTACTAATGTCAAAATGATGTGTTTGTTGTAAACCAGGCGAATTAATATTACAAAAAAAAACATCATTTTGACATTAATAAGTACCGCGGCGAAAATCTAAATTCGCCATCAACACCACCTTGTATAAATTCGACTTGATAGGGGTCTTAAAAATTTTCTTCGTTATACATTGCAATAAATAAAAAAATACATTAAGAAATATTCTAATATCTTTCGTCTTGAAAGATCTCTAATTTACTAAATAATTGTCGTGTAATTGTAAAAAAGGGGCTTCAGGATTCGTGTTTATACTTTTTAATTTATTCCCAAAGTAGTGAAAATAGACATGTATGTGTATACTTTTCATACACGATTTTAAAAGGGTTTTTTTT